GATATAGATATAGATATAGATATAGATATAGATATAGATATAGATATAGATATAGATATAGATATAGATATAGATATTGCTTTTTAAGCTGAAATCTATTTTATTTGAGATTAATATCACTATTCCTGCTTTTTTCTGGTTTATATTTGTTTGGTATGCTCTTTTCCCATCCTTTTATTTTTAGTTTTTCTTTATCTTCATTTTTCACATGTGTTTCTTGTAGACAGCATATTGATTAGTTTTGGCTTTTTATTCAATCTGCTACTCTTTTTCTCTTCATTGATGCATATAAAACCCTCATATTCAGTGTAATTATTGAGAGACAAAGTTGTAACTCTAAATTGGTTAAGTTCTTTTTGGGGACCAAAGCCTCTGCAACTCAAGTACTAGCTCTGGGAATGGTCAGGGGTACAGAAGTGGTATTTAGAAAGGAAATGGCTTCACCTGTGATATTGGTGCTCCTAACATAGGACATCGGTTCAGTGGTGATGTGGTCTCCAAGGAGTAGGGAGGTGTGGTTTCCACGAGGGAGGACTGTCTGATCTCCGCGTTGCAGGGCAATCTGGTCTCCACATATCAGGTGGCCTAGTGCACCAGTCCTTTCTCCATGCAGTGAGTGGTCTAGTGCACCAGATAGGTCAGTGTGTGAAGTTGGTCTGATAATCACATTTTTATATCTTTACGGGCCACTGTTTTAATACTGATGTATTCCTGAATATAAGTCTAGTTTAATATTGGTGGAAAAGTCTGCTCTGTGGGAGTGGCTTTATGAATTTTAAGTATACTAAATTCTTTTCCAATTTAAACCATAGTATTCCATATGGACAACAAATCTGAGAACTTTGTACTTGAATCTTTGACCCAAGGCAACTATTTCATTCAAGAGGACAAATAAGTAAGGGAGAAATGATGGTTCATTAAATTTTAGTATTCTCTAGGAAATTTACTAAAAGAAGTATAAAGCTATCCAGTCACATGAGTATATGAATGAGAATTTTCTCCGTAGCTTCTGAAAATATTTGTAAAAATACTCGTGTTTGTTCCTTCCTAACCAAGTAATATGATCTCTGGTAGCCTAGTAGGTAAAAACTGTGCTGCTCATGCTAAGATTAGCAATTTGAATCCATAAGCTGCTCTATGGGAGAAAGACAGACAATTTTCTATGTGATTTACAACCTCTGAAAACCCACCGGCAGGTCAGGTCTGAGTTGTTTCCAACTCAATGGCAATGAGTTGTGAGTTTTGCTGCTTTTATTTATTTTTTAAATCAACTCAATGACACATAACAACAACATTCCATTCTTAGCACTCAGTTTTATTGTAGCATTGGAAAGGTTGGTGATTCAAACCTACTCAGAAGTACCTCCAAAGACAAGAGTATGATTTATTTCTGAGAGGTCATAAACATGAAAACAGTCTGGGATAATTCTTACTCTTCACACATGTGGCCATCATAATTTGGCATCAGCTTAATGACAGCTAATGACAAGGAGTTATACTTTACTACCTCAGTAAGTTATACTTACTGAGATAATGCTCTTAACCTATTCCCTTTATCAACACCATTAATGTTAGTTATTGTCGTTATTAGTTGCCTTCAATCTGGCCTCTGACTAATGAACATGAACAATGTAAAGAAACTCAGCTCGGCTTAGTACTGTCCTCTTGTGATCCGCTGTTTGAAAATTAGATGTAGATCATGAGGTTTTTTTCTTCCATTTTAGTCAGAAGTTCAGATAAAACATATTTAGCATTATGCCAACACAAAAGCCTCTAGTTTCAGACAGGTTGTGGATGTAATGAGTTGTACCATCCAGGACTTCAACTGTATTTCCTGAATGAAATGAAAGAATTTCAGCATGTAACCATCACAGCCTCCTCTGTTGTGTAATATGTTGTTGAATCAGGGCCATAGCTGTCTCTCTAGTGGGTTTTCAGAGGCAGTAAATTGCACTAGAGGAGACTGCCCATTCTTCTCCAGCAGAGCAGCTTGTGAATGCCAACCGCATGCCTTTGGATTGGCAGTGTAGCTCCTTACACTAGGCCACCAGAGCTCCCTATTAGATGGGGAATGAAATCTGTAAACATTATGTCAAAATAAAAACTCTTCCATTTAAACTAGGTTGACTATTATTTTCACAGAATCCAGTGCACACACCAACTAATATTCATCTTCTTTTTTTTTCTCTCTTAATCTCCCTTTTCTTTCTTAATCTGTGTTTCAAAGACAATTTGATTTCTGTGTAATCTCTATTTTCCTTAACTGAAAAAGTCAGAAACTCTTAAACATATATATGCTTGAACATAGGTGTAACACAAGTGGATTAGTCCTTTTGAGTCATTTCACAAAAAGAATTTTGTCAGTCAAAGTCACTTACAGCTCAACGATTTAGTGTAGATTCAGCTAATTAAATCAGTGGTGATTTTTCCAAAACCATGGCTCTACTCAGACATTGTGAAAGCATTATCCCTGCTCATTAACAGCTTCACTTTATTCCTCCCGAATGGAGAACTAACACCTAAGGGGTTTTGGTAGTTAGTCATATAGCTTAAAATGCTTTCTACGAGACCTAAAATTAAGACAATTTGAAAGTGGTTTCAATTTTATTCTTTAATATTTTTATAAACAATAGGAGAACTAAATATAATAAACCAACATTCAAGAAGGAGAAAAGCATTACGTTGTTCATCTTCTCTATTTGGCTATTAAAAATGTAATAATACAGTCAGAGGGAATTGAAGAGACAGTGAGAAATGACTGTGTTATTTAGAATTAAACTGGTTCTCATAGAATAATTAAAATGGAAATAGCAAAATGTTAGTATCTCCAGAGAAAAAACTTAAAAATAGGGTAGGGGGAATGAAAGATATAGAACCTAACACCCTTTCATGATTAAAGCACTCAACAAAATAGGATTAGAGG